CGGAGGAGGGAGTCCCGAGGTGGGACGGGTCGGAGGGGGGAACTCCCTCCTCGTCCCCTCCCACCCCGGGACCCCGCTCCTCTGGAGGAGGGTCCCCCCGACCGCCCCCGGGGAAGAGAGTCCAGAGGCGGGAGAGGAAGAGGGGGGGACTCCCCCCTCCTCCCCCCCCCCCCCGGGCCCCCCTCCCCTGGAGGGGGGTCCCCCCGACCGCCCCCCGGAGAAGGGGGTCCCGGGCTGAGAGGGATCGGAGGGGTAAACTGCCCCCTCCGTCCCTCCCACCCCGGGACCCCCTCCCCTGGAGGGGGGTCCTCCCGACCGCCCCCCTGGAGAAGGGGGTCCAGAGGTGGGAGAAGAAGAGGGGAGAACTCCCCCCTCCTCCCCTCCCACCCCGGGACCGCTCTCCTCCGGAGGGGGGTCCCCCCCCCCCCCCCCCCCCCCCCCTCCCCCATCCCACACCCTGCCCCCCCCGCCTCCCCCCGCCCCAAACGGCCCCGGCTTCGCTCCCGGCGATCCACGGCCCCCTCTTGGCGATCCATGGCCCTCTCTTGGCGATCAGTGGCCCTCTCTTGCCGTCCATTGCCGAGAGCGAAGCCGCGGCCTTTGCCCCCCGCCCGCGGAGCCCCCCGTGTGATGTCGGGACGGGCCGGAGCCCCGGCGGTGTCGGGCGGTGCTTGGGAACTGCAGGGGGGGACCCGCCGAGCGGGCCCGGCCCCGGGGGGGGATCCAGGGGGGGCGCCGGCTCCGGCCCGAGCGGCTTTATTAAAACCGGCGCCCCCAACCCCGCGGGGACACGGAACGGGGGACAGAGGGGACAGCGAGGGACACGCGGATGGGAAACAGAGGGGGAGTTGAGAGGGAAAAGAGATGGGAAATAGGGGGGGGAATTGAGAGGGAAAAGATGGGAAATAGGGGGGGAATTGAGAGGGAAAAGATGGGAAATCAAGGGGGAATCGAGAGGGAATAGAGAGGGAAATTGAGAGGGAAAAAATGGGAAATAGAGGGGGAATTGAGAGGGAATAGAAGAACGGAGAGGGAATAGAAGGAGATCTGAGAGGGAATAGAGGGAGAAGTGAGAGGGAAGAGATGGGAAATCGAGGGGGAATTGAGAGGGAATAGAAGGAGAAGTGAGAGGGAAAAGATGGGAAATTGAGGGAGAATTGAGAGGGAATAGAAGGAGATCTGAGAGGGAATAGAGGGAGAAGTGAGAGGGAATAGAAGGAGAACTGAGAGGGAATAGAGAGAGAAGCGAGAGGGAAAAGATGGGAAATCGAGGGGGGATAGAGAGATAATGGGGGGTAATAAAGAGGGGGAATTGAGAGGGAATGGGGGGAATCGAGAGGGAGAACAGATGGGAAATACAGAGGGAATAGAGAGGGAACAGATGGGAAAGAGAGGGGGAACTGAGAGGGAATAGAAAGGGAAATTGAGAGGGAAAAGATGGGAAATCGAGGGGGAATTGAGAGGAAATAGAAGGAGAACTGAGAGGGAAAAGATGGGAAATCGAGGGAGAATTGAGAGGAAATAGAAGGAGAACTGAGAGGGAATAGAAGGAGAACTGAGAGGGAAGAGATGGAAAATAGAGGGGGAATTGACAGGGAATAGGAGAACTGAGAGGGAAAAGATGGGAAATCGAGGGAGAATTGAGAGGGAATAGAGGGAAACTGAGAGGGGGAATTGAGAGGGAAGTTCGGGGCACTAGAGAGGGAAGTTCGGGGGGTTGGGGTTGGGCAGCGGGGCAGGGCCGGGCAGGCAGGAGGGGAGGAAGGAAGGCTGGGGCGGGGGGACAGGCACGGAGCGGGTGCCGGGGTTCGGGGTGCGGAGCGGGGCGAGGGCAGAGGGAGGCCGGGGGAAGGAAAGGAGGGGAGGAAGGAGAGGTGGAGAGGGGTAGGGGTGGATGGCCGAGGCCATCCCTGGGTCCCTCCGGGGGAGCCCGGCGCGGCCGCTGCCGCCTCCTCCGCCGAACACCTGCAAAATGGCGGCGGCGGCTCCTCACGGGGCCTTAAATCACCTCGGCCCCGCCCCGCGCACCTGTGCCCCGCGCACGCGCCCTGCGGCCTCGCGCACCTGCGCCGGCCCCGCCCCCCGCCTCGCTCCTCTCCCGAGGGCGGGGCCGGGCACCCCCCGCGCCATCGGCGCCCCCTGGCGGACACGTCGCTCCCCGGGCAGGCTCGGTCCGTCCGTCGGTCCCGGTGCCCCGGGCAGGGTCCGTCGGTCCCGGCGATCGGCAGGCAGGCGGGGCCGAGCCCCGCGGTCGGGGAGCCGGAGCGCAGCCGCCCGTCTGTCCCCGTGTCCGCGCTCGGGCAGCCCCGGCAGCGCAGCCGGCCCCGGAGCTGGCACTGCCCGTGCCGCGGCTCAGGCACAGCCCGCTCCCGGCTCTGCTTTCAGCATTCCCCTCCCGCCTTCGCAACTTCGGCAATTTCCAACAGCCACTTTTTCCCCGCACTCAGGAAGGTGCAGCTCATCCGACACCTGATGCTCTCCTTCTTCTCCCCCATCCCCCGTCTCTGCAACTCGCACCCTCCCCTGGCAAACCCTCTGGTTTTAGAAACCCACTTAAAATATTTAATCTTTATTTCCAGATGAGGCAGGTCCTGCCTATGATGCAAACAGCTACACAAGAGGAAATAAGAAAACCGGACGCTGCCCCGTGAGTCAAAGGAGGGAAAGACTGCAGACAAATACTGTCAGGAACTGCACTCTTAATAAATCTGCGCAGCTCTCCCTCCTCTGCACGAACGGGCCGCAGGGAGCGTGGCCAGTGGGGCTGGGACCGGCTGGGGACGGGCAGAAATGAATCCTTCCTTGCAGTCGCCCGCGCCGTGCTCGGGGAGGGTGGGAGGTGAACCACGCTGGAAAGGAACGTTTTTTGCTCCTTGAAGTCCCGGCTTCCCACAGAGAGAAAAATCTTCCCTTTGAAGTGTCGGTGCCGCCTGTTGTGCCCCTGGGATGCTGGCTCAGCACGGACACGGGGAGCAGCTGGCAACCACAGCCCCTCTGGCCTGGGCCCAGGACGGCACCCGCAGCATGGACAGGGTTTGCCCCAGTTCAAAAGCGAGCACCACCCTGATGCTGCCCAAAACACCCCAAACCCCTTCCGAGTGCCAGCGATGTAATTCCCGGAAAATGAATCTTCTCTTTTATGCTGACGCTGCTGGCACTTGGGAATGCAGGCACATTGTGTTTGTGGAACAGCACGGGCAGCCATACCCAGGGCCCACCTCCCAGAGCTCCCATGTGCCCCCCACGTGTGTCCCGCCCGCCCCAAATCCCTGCCCTTCCAGCCGGAGGCCGGCAGCCAGCAGCACTGTTAAAGCCAGGGCAATCTGCCCTCAGCGGCCCTAAAGCAAGAGCCCTCGGAGATGCCTGAAAATAAAAGGGTAGCGTTGGAGAAAGTTGGGCTTGGATGCAATTCACAGTTTTTCGGGGACCCAACCAGAACTGCAGAAGCCCTGGACAGCTTGAACAGGTGGGTCAGACCCGGGGTGCCCCGAAGGCAGGGATGTGCATCCCTTTCCTTGGGAAAAGAACTCCCTGGGGCCGCTCCCGAGGCTCCCAAGTGACGGCGCCTTCCCGCCCGCAGAGACATCCTCGCCCGTGCTCAGGGGCTGCCTCACCCCGGGCCGGGAGCGCGTCCGGCCCCTGCCTTCTCCTGGGCCCACACATGCCTTCTGCCTTTCCACAGGGACAGTGACCCTTATGTGGTCCTGTTCTCTCAGGGTTCACTTTGGGGTATCTGTTCCTGCTGGTTTAGATTCCACAACTCCACTCAGAGCTGGAGATCTGGGGCTGTGCTTCTCTACTTCCAGCAGGTTCCATGAGGACCCAGATATTCCCATCAGCCTTTTTACTTACTTTTCAGGTGAATTCTACACAAGCCCGTCCCCCATTCCCTATCCAGGCTGGGAGTGCTCGTGCCCTTGGCACAGTTGGCTCTGGCTAGGCAGGAACTGAGAGCAGGACACGGGGCAGAGGGGATCAGCTGCCCAGGAAACCTCCAGGACATGAAGCTCCTGGATTCTCATTCCAATCAACGGAACACATTCTGTCTCTGGCAGAAGCCGGGAGCCAAAGCGGATCCCACCTGGCCAGGCTGGATCCACTCACGGGGAAAACCCCCTGCGCCTGCCAGGGGCTCTGACTCTGTCCTGCCAGCTCCTGAGCAGTGTCAGGGCCACTGGGAGGGATTCAAAACCTAAACAAACCCCAAATCCTGCAGAGGGAAAAATCCATAGGAAGAAACATATTGCTGTCATAAAAAACTTCAAAATCTGTTAAAAACTCTATGACAACAATGTAATGGGATTCCCAGGGACCTTATTAGTGCTCTTGGTTCCATTTATGCGTAGTTTTAGTCCCTCAATTAGCAGCCTGTAGAACTTATCCTGGGATTTGGAGGTTGAGCAGGGCTTCCTTTGGATTGACCTTCACTTCTGGCCCCAGTTTGTGCAAACACAACTTTGGCCAATGTGGTTAAACACGTGACCTCAGCTCTTCCCTCACAAACATGCCCTCTTTATTCCCCGGAGGTGAACTCACATTCTGCCCCCAGGCTCTCCACTCACCCCTCAGAGTGACCCCAGAGTGTCCATCCTGTCCCCTGCAGGGCCCTGGGCACACAGGGACGGCCCTTTGCCCACAGGGCCTTTCTCCTGCCCCTCTCCAGCCCGAGGCTCCTCCGCTCGCTCTCTCCGGCCTCGCGTCCCACACCAAACCCACAGCCAGCTCAGGCAGGGAAAGGACACCAGGCAACAGCTGCAAAGGCACACAGAGGAGAGCTGTCAGCCAAAGGCACAGAAAAGGCAAAGGCTTCAGAAAACATTGCTGCAACCTCACTGCTAATTATTTCCAGTTTCCCAGGGAGAACCCCACGAACTCACAGCCAACAATGCCTGACAGTCCCTGCAGCCAGAGCTCAGCACACGGACAGAGAGGCAATTCCACCACCTGAGAGGGAAAAAGAAGAAGGAAATGGTGATTTATTGGTTTTAAAGATATTTTAAGTTCTTGAAACAGAAACAAACATGTGCTTTGGAATTTTGTTGGGTGAATAAGTGGCAGTGGGCACAGGCCAGGTCATTATTCTGATTTCAGTGGTGCTCTCTGGGGCCAGACCAGCCGATCTCCCAAGTTCAATTCCTGCCCAAGGACTGACCTGAGCTCCCCGTTCCCTGCATTGCTCATCCCAACACTCACAGCAATCTCACCTCAGCCCACAGGCTCTCTGTCCTCAGAGGCAGGTTTTTTCCCCGATTTTAACAGTCTGGGAGCAGCTCCTATTTGAGTAAACCCATTAAACTGTTTTTTTCAGTGCAAGATATTAAATACTGAATCCAAGACTCACCTAAACACCTTTATCAAGCAAAGCTGTTTATGCTGAAACCCATAATAATGATTTTTACAGCCAGAAAATCCCCCAAACAGAATAAATCTATGGGAGGAAGACGTAAAACATAAATCCACCTTTGTCACACCAGAGCAGGGCAACAGCCAAGAGCTGCTGTTCCCAAACACTTTTATTGCCATTAAATAAGGAATTAACATTAGGATACGGACGTACACAAAAATAATCTGCCCCCAAAATACTGCAAAATAGCATTGAATAGTATAAACCAGCTATGAATGGGCTCTTTATGCATTTTATAAAAATCTGATTATTCTAAATTTAATTACAAATTATATTTTCTATTTATTACTTGGGCACAGAGAAAAAGGACTAACGGGGGTAAGACAATTAAAACATTTCCCTGGATATGCAGGAGGTTCCAAAGCAAGGCAGAGGATGAGATAATAATAATCTGGGACTCCAAACTGCAGTTAATTGACCCCTTGGAAACTGCTCCCAGGTTTTCCTGGTGCTTCATGTGATGACACATCAAAGCCACAGAGGCTTTTCCTGTTTCAAACTGTCAGGAAGGACAGTTATCCCAAGCAGCTGGATAACCCCAAATCCCACCCCTGGCTGCCAACAGGGCTGGCACAGGAAAGGGAAACAAAACCAGTGAGGCTGCGAGGCCACAACAAACTGGCACTGAGAGGAATTTCAGTCTCCACAGAGCATTAATTCCCTACGAGCAGCCTCTCCTTAGGTCATGCTCCGTTAACAGGGGCAGAGACCCCCATCCATTAAGAACCCGGGGCTTGTTTTGGGGTGAAACTTGCTGAAATCTGGACTCCAATCCTGGGCACCTGGAGAGCTGTACCCCTGGATAACTGGGCACCTGGATACCTGTGTCCCTGGATACCTGGAAACCTGGGGCCATGGGCACCTGGAGAACTGTGTCCCTGGGCACTTGGACACCCAGTTCCCCGGGCACTCAGGCTGGGCATCCGAGTACCTGGGTCCTGCATTGCCCGGGTCCCTGGGCACCTGGATACCTGAGTCTCTGTATCCCCGGGCACATGGATAGCTGGATACCCGTGTCTCCTTGTCGCCGGGCACATGGATAGCTGGATACCCGTGTCCCCGGGCACCTGGATAGCTGGATACCCGTGTATCCCTGTCCCCGGGCACCTGGATAGCTGGATACCCGTGTATCCCTGTCCCCGGGCTCCCGCGCATGCCGTTCCCGGTATCGCCGTGTCCCGGCACTGCCCGGTACCGCAGAGCCCCCGGTGGTCCCCGAAGCATCCCCGCCAGGGGCTCGCCCGGCCGCTCCCGCTGTGCCCGCCCCGTTCTATCCCGCTATCCCGCTCTCACCGGCTCCCTGCTCCTTGTCCCGGAGCCGGGACGCATCGCGGCAAAGCGCGGCCGCCGCGCCTGACGGCAGCCGGGTCACCATGGGAACCGCCGGGCCGCCCTCAGCACTTCCAGGGAGCGGGGAATGGCGGCCGGCGGCATCTCCCGCCCCCTCTGCCCTGCCCCAAGATGGCGGCGCCGCCCCTACCCAAAATGGCGGCCGGTGGCATCGCCCGCCCTCTCTGCCCTGCCCCAAGATGGCGGCGCCGCCCCTACCCAACATGGCGGCCAGTGGCTCACCCGCCCCTCTCTGCCCTGCCCCAAGATGGCGGCACCGCCCCTACCCAAAATGGCGGCCGGTGGCATCGCCCGCCCCTCTCTGCCCTGCCCCAAGATGGCGGCGCTGCCGCCCCGGCCCGCCCCAAGATGGCGGCGGCGGGCGGCGGCCGGGCGGAGCGGCGCGGAGGGGCCGCGCCTGCGCCCGTGGCCGTGGCCGTGCCAGCCCAGCGCCAGCGGTGCATGCCGGGCGCCCTGCCCGCCGTGACGCTGCACATCGCACCCGGCGCCGCCACCGGGGCCGCACCGCCACCGGGGCCGCCGCCATGGCGGGCGTGAAGGTGATCGCCAACGACACCGAGTTCCAGCCCGAGCTGAGCGCCGCCGGCTCCCGCCTGGCCGTGGTGAAGTTCACCATGAGGGGGTGAGTGAGGGCGGCCCCACGCTCCCGCCGCGCTCCGCTGTGCCCGTGTTTGTGTGGGTTGTTCCCGTTACCCGGCGCGGGGCCGGCCCGTTTGGGCCCTTGCCGGCACTCTGTACCACACGGATGTAGGCACAGCATCAGCACCGCGTTCCTATTCCTGGGATTAAACCCCCCTTTCCCGCCGAGCCCTTACCCCGCCAGCCCTCGGATCCGGGAGGGGATCGGGCGCTGCGCTGCTTTAAAACCCCGTGTCGGGTCAGGGAGCTGCTGTAACCGGGGCACAGACAGCAATGAAACATCCCAAACTTCTAAAAACATCTCCTGCCCTCGCCAAAGTTCGCTCTATCCTCGCGCTGTTTGCCCAGGAAAGGCAGAGATTCTCCCCCTCCTCGGCAGGGCTTTGAGGTACGACCGTGGTGAGATCTGGATGAATTCGTGACCAAAGAAACCTCAGCGATTGAATTATTCACGTTAATCTGTGAATGGTGATAATCTCGGGGGGGTTGGGGCTTCAGAGCGCACCTCGTTATTGTCCAGTTGCTGCTGCTGAATTCTGAGGGGTTTTTTTAGCTAATTTTCTACTTTTTTTGGGGCGGGGTTTGATTTTAATTTCTTTTTTCCCAGTGAGAATATCCCTTTGCAGGAATAGGTGCAGTTGGACACTTCCCACACTTTTGCTGGCACGGAATAATTAAAAATGACATATTTTCAGCCAAGGTGATGTAGTTAAATCAGCAGAAAACAGGGCCATGTTAATAACAATGTAACCAGTTATTCCCGTAAATTAATATGGGGATAGCCGATTACAGGTGTAAATGAGATTTATTGTTGTAAGAATTTTATGATCCCTGAAGCTTTGATACATTATCACCATTAAATATTTAAGTCATATGTAAGTGCTGTTTTTCCATGGGATGTGATGCGGAGTAATGATACGATTTTTCTATTAACAGTGGGTTTTTTTCTGCTTTTGCCCTCCTTTATATCACTTCATTGAGCAGTTAAAAATGCTGCAGTTAAGTTGCAGATATGAGTTAGTATTAATTAATAGGTGAAGCCACTCACGTGACATGGAAGCTGGGAATTAACTCCTCATCCTTAATTGTATCAGCAGCTGGCAGCCAGGTAGGGAGGTTATTTTTGCACCAGGATATTGGGAAGAGCAGGAGTGTGCTGATTCCGTTTGGGGCAGGTATTTAAAAAAGAAAATAAAAGTGGAATTAAGTGGAAGTGTTGTTTTCACAGATGTGGCCCTTGCTTAAGGATAGCTCCAGCCTTCAATGCTCTGAGTAACAAATACCCCCAGGCAACGTTTTTGGAAGTGGATGTGCATCAATGCCAGGTTAGTATGAAAAAAAACCACTTTCAGTTGGAAGACAAAGAGCAGAGAATGGGGAATTTGAAGGCAAACCCTTCAGGCTTGATGCTAAGAGGGGTGTCCTTTGGCTGTTGCCATGTTTGGGGCATCGCAAATAACCCTAATGTGAAATTCTCCCAAATCAGGAGAACAAACCCCCCATTTAGCAAAGTTTTCTTGCCGTGCCCACTGTGCTGCCCTTCATTTGAGCAGTGTACAGAGAGGTTATCAGTTCCTGCTGCCTGTATTACTAAGATAATACTTTAAATATAGAATCTAGCACCAATGGGAGTTAAAAGGAGTCTTTCCAGCCGAATATTGGTGTAATTATTGAGGGGGAAAAAGCAAAAACGCGATAAATCAATATTTATGAGTGGGACCAGTGGTGATTGACTTAAGGGTCATTCAGACAATGAATGGGGACTGGTTTCTGCCTCCCAGGGCACAGCTGCCACCAACAACATCTCAGCAACCCCCACGTTCCTGTTCTTCCGGAACAAAGTGCGGATCGACCAATATCAGGGAGCAGATGCTGTGGGTTTGGAGGACAAAATCAAACAGCACCTGGAGAACGACCCTGGGAACAGCGAGGACACAGACATCCCCAAAGGATACGTGTGTATCTCCTGGGGGTTTTGTTGGAATGCCTGGAGACCAAAAAAAATCATCATTTTTTAAACACACTCCGAGTCAAATAATAGGATTTTAGGCAAAGCTGCCTCAGAAAATCACTTATCTGGGCTTCCTTTTCCAGAAAAAAAATTAAATATTGACAAGAACACATTTAATAAGCATGAAAGGTTTTTCCTGCTTTTCTCACCCATCCCAACCTGCCTTCCTCCAAACGTTTTTTTAAAAGTGTAAAAATGTCTCATGTTTTATTTTTCTAATGTTTGCCAAAGGGCACGGTAGTAAAAGTGTTCACTTTAGGTTTCTTGTTGCCCGTCAAAGAAGAACAAAGATGACAAGGGTATGAAATATATAAAATAAAAAAGATGGCACAGGAACAGCTGGAAAAGGTGATGTGCCTGCCCTGAGTGGCACACAGGAATCACCTCCTGTTGACTGATAATTAATCAACAATTAATTACTGATATCTTAATAGTTTATTGATAATCAAATTATTGATAATTAATCAGTAACACCCCCTTTTAAATGGCTTGGAGCTTGGAGAGCTGGGAACATAGGACTGATTTGGGGTGGTTTTTAATTAAATCAGTTCTAACTCCAGGCTGATGTTTGTGTGTGACTTGTGGTCTTGTTTAGCAAAAATATATTTGGAAGTTCTCCCTGTGCCAAGTTTCTGGTTCTCGGGATGGCAGGTGGTTCCAGGGATGCAGGATTTAAGGGATAAATCCCACCTGAGCACTGTGATACCCGTGTTTTGTGTTTGTCACACCTCCTGTCACCAACCCCTGCGCCGTGTGTGACTTACCCGAGCCCCTGGAGCCTTGTCCCGCTCTCAGTGTGCTCTTGCCTCTGTTCCCAGATGGATCTGCTGCCCTTCATCAACAAGGCTGGGTGTGAGTGTCTCAACGAGAGCGATGAGCACGGCTTCGAGAACTGCCTGCGCAAGGACCCCTCCTACCTGGAGTCCGACTGCGACGAGCAGGTGCAGCACGGGGGGCAGCCACAGGCACGGGGGGCAACCACAGGCACGGGGGGCAACCACAGGCACGGGGGGCA